GTGACCTGTGAAAGTGACGGATAATACAGCAACCAGAGGTTTTCGGTGATTTGGTTTTAGATGAGAACGAAAATTGTCCTCGGTGCATATCGTCCGCATTATTCGTAATGAGTAAAATAATTATTATTGTATTTAATTTTCATATTATGTCGTGCCTAACGTCTTCAGCTCCCTGTCAAACACATAATAACAGACTTACAGACTATCGCCGGCTGGCCTCACGTACACACGCTATTATCTGACTTTTTACGGCAATTTTTTTGTATTATTTAAAATATGTTGTTGTGTTTGTAATTTTTTTATAATTATAATATAATATTGTTATAAAATATAATTATATAGGTACCTAGTAAACGTTCTCATTACCTATAACTTCAACTTAATTAATACGCTGCAGCAGCTCAAATAGCTGTCTAATCTAATTATTCACATTATAATATTTTTATATCATTGCCGATTATTTATTATTACACTAATATAACACAATATTATAGAGCCAAAACGCTATTGCATTTATCTTTTAATTGTTATTTACGTATTTTATTAATTGTTGGGTCAAAAATTTAAAAATTTTAAGTACTACTTACATAATTGCAAGGTTCATCTTTGGACCGAATCCACCCTATATTTTAATTAATAATTTATTATTATTATAATCCATAATTGCATATTATGCTGTGATTAATTTGTTTTTATTTAAATTACTAATATTGTTAGCAACTTATTTTATACTACCAGAAACTTCACACAGTAACACTATACACAAATACACAATACACATCAAAACATAAACCCACTTACCCGCTTTATACCCACCACGCACTACACTAGCTAGTTTTGCTAAGGAACCTGTCCACTACCTTTGAACTACTATTACATATGTATATATTGTGAGAAGTCTTGTGACAGGTTTGAACGGATGTCGATGAATAGAGGATACTGTTGGTAGTTGGTGTTTAATAGAAAAAGACATAGAAATAGAACTTGAGTATAATCATGTGAATGTTTAATAAAATTAGAGAAATAATAATAATAATAGTAATAATATACATAGTTATAGTTATAATTTAGTTATTTTTATAGGCATAGATATAGATATAGTATTAGGAGTTAGGACAGTGTTGAATTTAAAGAAATATCAAGCTATCATCCTTTAAATAATTTAAAATTACTGTTATTATAATATCAATACGTTTTATTAACTATTCCCAGTCCCGTCACATGGTCGTTATAAATTCAGGGAGTAAAAACGGATAACCCTCCTTAAATTGTACCCATTCTCAAATCCCAAACCCAATTTTGACCCACTTTTATACCCTTTTCTCTTACCCGTAAATAATTGTACCCGATTTCGGACGCGAAATCCACAAACAATTGAACCCGGTTTTGAAAGCAAAACCCATAACCCGCGCGCAACTTAACCCGCCTGCGTGCACCCCATACCCTAAGCCGCTAACAATTGTACCCGGTTTCGGACGCGAAACCTGCAAACAATTTTACCCGGTTTTGAACGCAAAGCCCATAACCCAAAAGCCGCGCCCAACTTAACCCACCTTTGCACCAAGTCCATCAGCCCGCTAACAATAAATTGTACCCGGTTTCGGACGCGAAACCCGCAAACAATTTCACCCGGTTTTGAACGCAAAACCCATAACCCGAGCGCGATTTGGCCCACTTTTGTACACCATAAACGCCCTACCCTCAAATAATTGTACCCGGTTTCGGACGCGAAACCTGCAAACAATTTTACCCGGTTTTGAACGCAAAGCCCATAACCCACAAGCCGCGCCCAACTTAACCCACCTCTGCACCAGTACCATCAGCCCGCTAACAATAAATTGTACCCGGTTTCGGACGCGAAACCCGCAAACAATTTTACCCGGTTTTGAACGCAAAACCCATAACCCGAGCGCAATTTGGCCCACTTTTGTACACCATAAACGCCCTACCCTCAAATAATTGTACCCGGTTTCGGACGCGAAACCTGCAAACAATTTTACCCGGTTTTGAACGCAAAGCCCCTAACCCGAATTTTTTACCCAATTTTTTACCCGGTTTCTAATATACGAAACCCGAAACATTTTTACTCGTTTTGACTACCTGGACTTATATAATACCATGGGACAAATACAAATTCCCCCAACTCCTGTCGCGCCACTCTTGTCTCTTTCCAGAGGCTGTAACGCACTTAAATTCAACACAAGTAAGCTGGAAATGGGCGAATGCCGTGAAAGTTAAAAATTAAAAGTTAAAACCTATATATTCAATGAATCATTGGGTATTTATTTTATTTTATTAAATTTTAAATTAAAGTATCTATTCGCGTGAAGTACAGTGTTCGCAATACCAATCTATATTAATTCATTTTATTGTAGTCGATCGGCGTTCGCGCGTTTTCGCTTACGATGTGGATTAGGCCTACCGGGGATACCACAATAAAAAAAACGCGCCACGTGTAATACCTCATGCTTTTAAACAACACGGACTATATGATATTATTTATATTATCTTGTTGTTTAACAAGTCAACAGGTGGTGTGGAATTGTACACAACCTTGTCGTACATTATAATCAAAGTTGCGATAATATATTATATTAAATTACGCATACGGTATACCTAATAGCAGGGCGAATATTTTATCGGTAAACACCCGTTTCAAATAATTATTAAATATCAATTCGATAATATTATTCATATCGACACAGACGAGACGTATTGACGTATTTTAAAGTACTACAAAACAATCACAGCTAAAATCATCCTACATTAGGTATATCATAAGCCTACGAATTGTTCTGATCGATCGAGCATTGATTCAATATTTAAGAATCGTTTATTTTCGTTTGTCGAACGTAAACATAATATGATTTCTTTCTACAGACCACAAGCACTGCATAATTATTTACTCGACACATAAGTAAAACACTGCAGTCATCACTCAACAGCTTTCAACACGCTTAGATTCTGAGAGAAACGATGAATGTATTGATTTTACGATAATATGTGTGTTTTTTTTTTTTATTTTTTTTTATTTGGTGTCTGTGTACACGATTAGTAGTCGAAATAATGCTTCGATTTTCAACTTCAGTAACTTGTTCGATGGGAAAGTGAATCTAGTTGGTACTTTTAGGAGGTCAAAATTTATAATTCCCAATAGTTTTCACAAGCGACAAGATTAACAAAAGAAAAATTAAGGAAAAACGGGAATTTTAACGCAAAATCGATTTTTCACAAAATTGAATTTGGTTTTTGGTGTAACTTTAAAACAAATGACCGTAGTCACTTGAAATTTTCACTGGTTGTTTATATTTGCATTTTCTATACACTATAACATTTTCAAAATATTTTGAGTTTATTTTGAACTGTTTAGGGACATTTTCATTTTCCATTTTTTTTTAGTTTTTTTTCTAAAGATATCAATAAAATTTTATTTGTTAGCTGAAAAAGCTTGAAAATTTAATAGAAGGCTCCTAGTATATTGTTTCAAAGGCAGATGAAAAATATTAAAAATCCTTAGTCACACCTTGAAAATAAGGGGTGGATGGGTATAATAACAAAAAATAATAAACTTGAAATATGTTCATAATTAATCACAGATTATATTGGTTGATACCTTAATATTTACTAATATTATCAATACCAATATGATAAAATGTATTAAATAATATAATTTTGAGTCTTAAGGGGGTAGGTGGGTGAGTAAAATGTTTTCTTGCTACACCTGAAAAATATATCTTGGGCGCCACTGTATAGCGGAGCCCCCCACTTAAATGTGTTTGGAAAATTTACTGGACTCCCAAACATGAAAAATTCCTAAGACGCCACTAGTACTATGTAAAATACAAAATCTAATCAAGGAAGGATCAGATGCTGATGAAATTACTGGAAATCCAAACATGAAAGTTTTAATTTTTTTTCTGTACCTACATACGATAATTTCATGCAGCGCCATAATGGTAAGTACCTATTATGCACACATTTTGAATTAAAAATTTCACAATTCAACTAAATAATAAGTTGCATCAGAGCAAAATGTACAGAAGTACAGAATACATTCATCTAAACTTTGAATGCTAATGGATATAAAAAAACTATAAACTTTTTACCTTCATGGCTTCATAAAAATATTTTTTAATAAGAAAAAATTGATAACTTAGGTTTACTATCAATAGAAAGCGATCTTACATCTTCTTTAAGCGGTCCCTACACGATCAATACTATTGCACAATAAATTTCCAACCCTGTTTGATTTCTTTAATATATTGTACAATCCTTCATTATCTATACTAGACTGTCAATAATATTGCACAATATCTGATTATTGTGTAATATTAATTATTATTGATTGTGTAGGGGCCACTTTAAACTTCGATGACATAATAAATGAATTTGTTTTAAAAAAAGCAACTAGCAAGAAAAGTAATATTATAAAATAGCTTATTAATTATTTCTATTATAATTTATAAATATAAAAATATTATTACATTTAATAAATGATATAAAAATAAGAAATGTTTGATTTTGTTTTCAGTATCAATAATAAATATATATATTATATTAATTAATAACTAATAAGTACAAGAAATCTGTAGCCTGTAGAGATACAAAATGCATAACATTAAAATTATGTTTGTGAAAATGTATAAGTAAATACTAAATTGATATAAATTACAACTCGTTTGTGGAGGGGGGCTTATAAAGTTATAAACGCTACTGTTAACAAGGTACCACGATTTTTATTTTGCCTAAGGCCACAAAATGCTTAAATCAGGCCCTGAATACAAGGTGCTATGGGGCAGAATTCTTTACAATTTCCAACTATATTTTCATTGCACGCGCACTTACATAATATTCTATATAATATTATGTAAATACATAACATAAATATTTCAAAAAATATGTAATGTCACAATAGACAAGAGATAACAATTATTAAGAATACTGCAGGTTGGTAACACACATGACACATTACAACTACACAAGTGTGATTCGCAACTTACGAGAGGAAGATGGTAATAAATCATTATCGGACTTCAGCGCAGTGTTGAAAGCGCCGAGGAAACGGCCGAAACGCAAGACGGACACGATCGAAGCGTAAACGCCGGCGATCACGGCAATCACTGCTATCGGTTTATAACAGCTGTTACCGCGTCTTCGGAAAACTGTGGTATCACTGGTATCCATCGTCGTCAAACCGCGTTCGGGGGCTGAACCGGTCGAAAATCTAAAACGAGATATTTGTGCATAATATTATATAACGTCGAGAGGTATAAACAAGAGTAAGTGCTAAAGTATTGTATTATTGATTTGTCGAAAATTAATTATTAGTAGAAATGTAAGTATAATTTTGTATATAGGTACCTACTGACTGCTCACGCCGGCTGTGTTCCTGTCGTTACAACGGTTTTTCGAAATACGTAAGTAACGATAATCGCCAATTAATAATTAAACAGGTTTGCAACAGTATTTACGGTTTTACTAATTAATTGTATTATATTATTAACAATTTACAACTATAACCTATCAGTTATCACATGACATTTTTGGACAGGCGACTAGGCGAGTAACCACAGAATACCACATTATAAACCGTATTACATAGGCTATAACGTCTTCGAACCGACAATATTGACAAATGAGTAAATGACAAATATGAAATAACTAATAAGTACTAACGTCTAACAAAATAGAGTGATAGAATTCAGCGATTGTGATGGTAATAATATGGAAACGGCCAACGGGTAGGTAACATTAAGATTTGAGATAATACTATAATAGCAATATTGTCGTTCTGTGGTGGTGATATAGAACTGGTTCTCAATTGTTATCCCCATAGATATATACAACAACATATGTACCTACTTATCTTTATACCTGTAGGCTACAGACCATAGGTCATAGATACTTTGTTGAGTATTAATGTTGACATATTAATATTATACCATTTTAAATAGTGGTCGAGTAGTATAGGATCTATGGCAGGCAGGGTGTCCAAGGTCCAACCCGCGCCCTCAAGTCACTTGTGGCCCGCGGTCGATATTAATCACGATTTAGGGTAGTACTACACGGCTATTTGTTGTCTCTGTCTTACAAATGCGCAACGTAGAAAATTTACGCTGAGCATATCATTTTTAGCCCCTTGTTTAGTATTAGTATGCCACGATGGTCGTGATATCGGGTTTCCAATTTAATAAATCAAAACCAACACGAATTAAAATGTATATAATAGTTCCCTTGTCTATTTTGCGTGAACAGAGTTTAAAATAATTCAATTACCAATATAGAAATAATATAATGGTAAAAGTTTCGACTCGAGTATATAATAAAAAGCACGGTGTGTTTGAAAAGAGAGCGCGTCCGTCGATCGGAGATCGCGTACTCTCGTCATGGAGGTAGACGCGCAGTATAGAATGTTAAAAAAAAAGGAGGGGCGCGCAGCTGATACCGCGGTTACATTATAATCATTGTTATGGGTCGCCACAAATCACAATATCTATAATCCGTGGTCTATAATAATGTTATTATCTGTATTTAAACTATTTATGTTGATTGTTGACTGTTGTCACGGACTAAGATATACAGGACTGGACACGAGATGAATATTGTGGTTACGAAATGTTTTACAACAGGCGGAGTTCGGGGGGATATTTTCCTTTTAGCATTACTAGCGCCGTCTTAGTGGATACTTATGGAACTAGAAATTTGTATGATGTGTTCTAGTTCCATAAGTATCCACTAGGACGGCGCTAGTAATGCTAAAAGGAAAATATCCCCCCGAACACTGCCTGTTGTAAAACATTTCGTAGTCAACCCCCCCACACCCTCCAACCTTATCGTGTCCAGTCCTGTATATCTTAGTCCGTGCTGTTGTTAATTAATATTTGATTTTCTCGTTAGCGGTGTTTGGGACCACTACGATAATATTATTATATTATTATTTTTACAACTAGGGATACTCAATAGGTACCTGTTAACGTTTTAATTAACCGGACGCTGGTTCGCTGGTTGTTAGCGAACAACTCGAACAAGCGAACGTTGTCAACATGGACACCCAAAACAACTTTAACAACAACTCCGATGATGATGACGACGAGTAAGTAGTTACCTATTTATCATTTATAAACATTGGTCGATTTTTCAACTTTTCTGTTGTAAAAGTGCGTTTTATGGGTAGCTAAACAAATTTTGTCAAATCTAGTCATCCGATCTGTTGGTTCTGTGTACTTTTTACTTAGAAGGTGGAATTACTCTTCTCCTGAACGCCTATGTAGTATGTAGTGGCATCTGGCGTGAGCGGTCCTAAAACTGCTTTTGTAGTTTGATGTTCAATTGTAAATATTATATTTTTGAGATTTAGTTTGGGAAAATCCATAGAAAAAAATTAATACCTATATTATACCTCTCATTAATCATGATTAGCTATAAATATTTAATCACTTAAATTCAGACTTGGGTAGTATTCCGAATACTTTTTTTTGAAAGTATTCAATATGGTATTTTTAATACTTTTTACGAGTATTCGGAGTACAGTATTCGGAATAGATAGCCAGATAGGTGTGTATTATCAAGATTATGATAATGTTCATTTATAAACAAAGAATTAAAAAAAATAATATTTTTGCTATTGAAATCTAAATTTACCAAAAAAAAGTATTTGAAAAATATTTGGAATACTTTTTGTGAAGTATTCCAAATACTTAGGAATATTATTATCATAAAGTATTCGAATACATACTCTGAATACTTTTTTATTTGAAATACTTTTAAAAAGTATTTTACCCAAGTCTGCTTAAATTGATTCTTGTCAGCAAGTTTCATTGTTAGATACCTGTTATTTTATTTATTTTGTATAACTACTTAACACCATGATGTCAGTTTTTACAATTAACATTAATTTTGAAATTAAAACTAAATTCTATAAATAATTGTACACTATATAAAAGAATAATTAAGATTTCATATTATAGATTTGTTTATGGTTTTTAGTTTTTTTGAAGTGAGCCAGAATGGCCAAACTCTAAACATAACAACAAAAATGAATAATTAATTGTATTGAATATCATTCAAATCTTTATTCTAGTACTAACATGCAAGTATATTCAAATGCAGTTGTTCAACAGCATGTTCAAGCTTTAAGGGATATTATTATCTGTAAGTATAAAATAAATTTGTTCTGATATTTTTTAACATTAAATTACTGTTGAAAGCATTTAATCTTCTTGAAAATATAAATTAATCCATATTTCTAATGACATTTAGGCCCAGAACTTCAATTAGAAACACACTATGACCGAAGTTTAACTGCAGCACACAAGGTGATTTAACTTTCATTGTCCATCAGTAAAAATTGAGCATTTTTTAAAAACAAATTATCTTATACAAAGCTTGATTTTATTAAATACCTACCAATTATACTAATAATACTAAAAGCACAAATATCTATCAAACAGTGCTTAAGAAGATGTGATACCCGCATGTGTTGTGTCCGTCTTACAAGTACATAACATAGTAAATGTTACGCTCAGCAAAATATTGTAGCTAAAATTGTAAATTGTTTGTACATCTGAAAATACACATCACTCGCTTTAAAATTAAAATATAATAAAAAGCCCATGAGGTTGCCTAGATAATAGTCTTACCTTTAAATTTTATGTGAAGTCAATTCACCCTAATTTTTAAACTAACGGAACTACACAGTACACGTATTCTGCTGAGCTTAAAATGTGCTATATTTCGCACTTATAAGACGGAGACGACACATACGGGTATCACGTCCTCTTAATAAATTCAACAAAAACAAAATATTAAATTGAATTCCGCTATGTCATCATCTTAAAATGGCACTAGTATATATTCACATCATAGACCTTATACTAGTAGACGGAGCATATTAGGACGGCGGGGTTGGATAGTGCGGTCTTTAGCAATTTGTGTTACAGACTTACAGTGTTATAAATATATATATATATATATATATATATATTATATACAGTTTATTGTATCATCTATATAGTGTTCATGCTCCATGTAATTCGGTAACACCCGAACAGATAGAACTACATTCATACTCCGTGTACTAGTATTAGATTTATGATTCACACAGACCATAATTGTGTGAAATTGTAGTATATGGTCTGTGTCCAATATTATCAAATATAAATTCTAAAATACTTCATTTCGTGCCATTTTTTTCAGAGATTTTATACACAGTCCATCAACTAAGATAATATAGACTGGTGGCGACTTGATGGGCGGGTGGTAGTGGTGCGGTCAGGTTTTTAAACATAGTTTCCGTAGAGAGGGAAATCTTGCAATCCAAGCGATCATAGTGTTATTTTCATGAACTACCAAGTAGATAGCGTTTCAGTCGCTAAATTTCTCCCATTACAGAAATATCGTTGAATAACTTGACCGCAAGTGGAGTCGAAACTCCTGATAAACTATTGATTAATTATTTTAGATTCTGAGCGGAGCGATGAATGTATTGGTTTTACAATGATGTATGTTTTTATATTTTTATATTTTTGTGTCTGTCATCACGTTTTAGGACAGTAAAAGTGCTTCGATTTTCTTCAATAGTACCTTTTCTGATAGGAAAGTGAATCTAGTTGGTACTTTGGGGGATCAAAAGTAAACATTTCCCAGTAGTTTTCACAAGCGCCGGGAAAAACAACATAAAAATTAAGGAAAAACGGGAATTTTTACGCAAAATTGGTTTTCCAAAAAATCGATTTTGGTTATTGGTGTAACTCTAAAACAAATGAACGTATATACATGAAATTTTCACTGGTTGTTTATATTTGCATTTTCTATACACGATAACATTTTCAAAATATTTTGATTTATTTTGAACTGTTTAGGGACATTTTCATTTTCCATTTTTTTTTAGTTTTTTTTCTAAAAATATCAATAAAATTTTATTTGTTGGTTGCGAAAGCTTGAAAATTTAATAGAAGGCTCCTAATATGTTGTTTCAAAGGCAGATGAAAAATATTAAAAATCCGAAGTCACAATTTTTTTTTATAAGCATTTAAAGTTCAAAAATTGACAAAATCTACCGGACAGTCAAATTAAATTTTTATGAGCGTTTGAAATTCAAATTTTTACAACATTGGATTTTCACTCGATTTCTCATGTAGCGATTTCCTTATTTTGTTGTAATTCAAAAACGAATAACTGTAGATACATGAAAATTTCACTGAATGTTTATATTAGCATTTCCTATACACCATACAATTTTGAAAATATTTTGACTCTTTTTGAGCTGTTTATGGACATTTACAGCTTTCAATTTTTTTTAGTTTTTTTTTCTATAAATATCAATAAAGTTTTATCTGTTGGGCCAAAAAGTGTAAAAATTTAATACAAAGCTCCTGATATATTGTTACAATATCAGTTGAAAAATATTAAAAATACATAGGCACGATTTTTTTTATAAGCATTTAAAGTTGGAATTTTGACAAAATTTATCAAAATCTCAAAAATTATCAATCGTTGGAATTAAAAAATTATAAAATGTTCAGTTTTTATAACTAAGAGTTGAAAATTTAAAACAAAGATTCTCTTAAATAATTCATACTGTAACCAAAAAATCTAAAAAATATATAAACACACTTATTTTTTACAGACATTTTAATTTCAAATTTAGACAAAATTTCATATTTAAACCAAGAATTACGATTTTAGTTATTTTGTTGTGATTGTATAATATTATTCGTGGGTACTTGAAATTTCTAAAGTAATCTACTATATATATCTATGATAGTATCAGGGTTTGTTGTTGGTGTATAACGCGTTATAAGTACCTAATGGATATTGTGATATGATTAATTTGGAATTCATTATAGGTCAATTTTTTTTAATACCATAGATATGTATATAATATGTCTTATACCTAGAAGGACATACCGTCTCCGCTCAGAATCGTTTTTCTTATACAATGATATTATATCATTGAATTCAAATTTAATACCATCCATTATACAATGACCCACTTGTAACCTACTGTACAGCAGAGCGACACCCACTTGCCCACCTTTTTTTACTCTTTATGTAATATTCTTTCTTATTATTAACACATTCACTATGTACCATGTTCAATATAAATTTAGCATTCAACATCATTCACAACTGATGAATGAATCCAATTATTGGATTCATGTACCTTCTCATTCAATGTAATATAACTTGGGTCATGTTACGATTGATGTATAAGTTTCTTGATAGTGTCTCCTATAAGATTAATATCCAATGTGCATTCAAGTTGTAAATACATACATTTTTTCAGTCTTCAAGATTTATTTTTAAACCTAATTTTTCCGGCATAGGGACAAGTATATACCGACCTCCAATATAATATATTAAACGTGTTATGTAAAAAATCTTACCTACGGTAGAAATGTATTTTAATTTATTGAGTTACCATACATTTAAGTATTCTAATAAACAATTGATTTAATCTTATACATCTGATTAAATCAATTGTTCACATATTAATGTAATTATACATATTGTATAATACTTTATAAAAAAATGTTCAGTTGAATATTTTTATAACTTATTGCAATTCTTTTAGTATTTGGGAGATGGACTTCATGAAGCTACTGGACGCACAGTATATGAAGAAGGCATTATTCATTCATTACCAATTATTTTTTTAAAGCTAAATTTGATGCCTGGACAAATTTTACCTATTATAGCTCGTTCTTCAGATGTTAAACTAATATTGAAATATGCCATATTCCGTAATCGTTCATTTGGAGTTTGCTACAAACTGTAAAACATTTACAATTAGTTATTCATTTATAAATAATAATATAAAATCTTTATTTTTATTAGTAATGAAAATAAGCGTACATTTGGAACAATTGCCGAGGTTTATGAACATTCTGTAGAAATAGAAACTTCTCAGTCATTTCAAATTAAAGCTATGGGCCATCAGCGGTTTGAAATTGTACAAGTCAGTAAATTTCCTGAAAGGTAACTGATAATTCTAAATTATTTAAAAAAACTTGATTGATTTTGTTTATATTATGTATGTGTACAGAACACAATTGAAGGTATTATAAAATATAATGTAGGGATATAACAATATATTTTAACCCCTCGTACTGCTCAAGGATTTAGATGTCTCATTTACCCGCATAGGGTAAAAATTCACCCCTCAGAAATATATATATATATATACAAAGAGTGATATACAAAGATTATACAGAGTAATTATAAAAACAAATTTTTTTTTTTTAACAATATTTTGTATAATTGTTATATTTGAGGTTATTGAGTTTGATCAAATATCCGCATACCATATTATATATTTTATGGACATTTTTAAAATGTCTGGGGTAATTATTTACCCGTGTGCCGTACGACGGATTAATGGAGATATTTAAATAGTAGGTATAACAGATAAGAAAGTATTATTTACTCAATTTAGTTGATACTAAAATTATGTTACCAGTAATGGTAAAATTATTATTCTTTATAGCTAAAGAATATTGTTAGTATACTCCGTTCCACGAGAGAGTACGACTAGGCAGCGACCAAAATATGTTCATTTTCGAGCATCCCCACCCAGTGCCGCAATTTGGTACATATTGGTGGGTTTGTGACCTAATATATAGGGCTCATGTACAGAGGCGCAACTATGGGGGATTTGGGGAGTGGGCTAAAGAACCCCCTCTGACCACGATTTAGACCCCTCCAAAAATATTTCTTATTTATTTAGATATAAGTCGCTTATAAGTTATCTTAAATTAATAGCTTTGTTAGGTGGGCTATACTGCTGTAGCCCCCCAGAATTTTAAACCTAGTTGCGACTATGCTAATGTACAAATAGGTCATTAAATACATATTGCTTGTTGTTTTTAGCTTTTGTTACATAAATTATAATATTATGAAGTTAATATAATATTGTCGTTGTTAAACGACGTTGTTATAATATACAGAGTGTCTACTGGTGTAATCATGTTTATTATTATTATTATTTTCCATGGTAGTTTTAATAAAAAAAAGATGCTCTGCTGTACAGTAGGTTACAAATGGGTCACTATATAATGGATGGTATTAAAAAAATTGACCTATAATAAATTCCAAATTAATCATATCACAATATCCATTAGGTACTTATAACGCGTTATACATCAATAACAAACCGTGATACTACCATAGACATATGGAAGTATACTTTAGAAGTTTCAAGTACCCACGAATAATATTATACAATCACAAGAAAATAACTAAAATAGTTATTCTAGGTTTTTTTTATGTAATTTCGTCCAAATTTGAACTTAAAATGCCTATAAAAATAAACTGTGCTTATGTATCTTTTAGATTTTTTGGTAACAGAATTAACTACTTACGTGAAATTGTATTATAAACTTTCAATCCTTAGATATAAAAGTTGAACATTTTATAAATTTTTAACTACAAAATAATTATTCAATTTTAAATTTGATAAATTTTGTCAAAATTTGATCTTTAATTGCTTATAAAAAAAAATTGTGCCTATGTATTTTTAATATTTTTCAACTGATATTGTAACAATATATCAGGAGCCTTGTATTAAACTTTTACACATTTTGGCCCAACAGATAAAACTTAATTGATATTTATAAAAAAAAAAAAAAACTAAAAAAATTGAAAACTGAAAATGTCCGTAAACATCTCAAAAAAAGTCAAAATATTTTCAAAATTGTACAGTGTATAGAAAATGCTCATATGAACATTCAGTGAAATTTTCATGTATCTACAGTTATTCGTTTTTGAATTACAACAAAATAAGGAAATCGCTACATGAGAAATTGAGTGAATATCCAATGTTGTAAAAATTTGAATTTCAAATGCTCATAAAAATTTAATTTGACTTTCTTATAAACATTTTCTTTCGGTTAAGGTAGACAAACTTATGAGGAATCTTGTATTACATTTTATTATCTTAAATTTAAAATGAAAAATTTTTATTAAATCTAACTCGAAATAATTTGCAAATTTTCGTCATTTTTACGTATTTTGTCAATATTTGAATTTTAAATACTTATAACAAAAAACTGTGACTAAAAATTCCCGTTTTTCCTTAATTTTTATGTTGTTTTTCCCGGCTCTCGTGAAAACTATTGGGAATTTAAAATTTGACCTCCCGAATTCACCAACTAGATTCACTTTTCCACCGAACAAGATGCTGTTGAAGAAAATCAAAGCAGTTTTACTACCCCAAACCATGATGACAGACAAAAAAATATTAAAAAATTTAAAAAAACACACACGCATCATTATAAAATCAATACATTCATTGTTCTACTCAGAATCTAAATGTAATAATCAAAATAAATTATATTTATTGCAAAAAAATAACTCCTATACTGATTTATTATATTATAATAGTTAGTCGAGGTTAATATTTGTGATGCGTTACTTGGGCCGCTGTATACACAAAGCGGACGCCACATGGTGAGGGAATTTTGGCCTCGCGACGTCAGAGCTAATTCATTTCAATGCGCATGGCTTCTCTTGTGGAACAGAGTATAGTTTAGTACATGATCCAGTCCAAAATTTTATAGTTGGGAATCATTTAAATACTGAAATTAATATAATTTAGAAAATAGACAGTTGGTACTGTAATTTAATATTAATCAATTAATTAATAATTAATGATTAACAGATTATATAATTTATTTTTTATTTTTTTAAAGAATTTATTTAAATATATCTATGGTTTGCTCTAAAAAAAAAAAAAAAATTAATGGACAGAGGTATGTGATCATAATTTATCTTTTTTTTCTAGTCATGAACAATCACTTGCTTTGGCTAAAATCAAAATCATACCAGATATTACATTAACTCATCCGTATAATACATTGTGCTTACATCCAAAGAAACGTAATACGAGTCATGGTGAAATGTAATAAGTGTATACAATATTTAATAAAATAGAAATAATTTTAAATTAACATATTAATATTTATCATGCATATTATGTTTATGTTAGGTGCCGTAAAAGAGACATGTGGCAAACTCAGTGGCCAGATTGGGTTTATAAACAGTTTGATGTTTATGAATTGGCATCTCGTCTTTCCAAAAAAGTTAAAATGTTGTGTAAGGCTAAATTTTTGAATAATTTTTTAATTTTTTAATATGTGATGATATAATATTTAGTAGTGTTGTAACACTTATATTAAATTAAACTTTAAAACAATTATTTAATTATTTTTAAAAAGCACACAATGTGACTGAACCAAATGTCATGTAAATTACATTGATGCTTGTTATGTATCATAAAAAAATCATTGATCAAATATATAACATTTGGCATTCAATCATTTTTGTGTATTATTATGTTTTAAAGATAAAGATGTAAAAATCTCAGATGATCCATGTTTGTTGTCATTCCAAGTGACAAGACTTGGTATATTCAGTCAAGAACAAGTTAGTGAGTTGCTTGGTATGGAGTCAACAAACCTACGACTTCAATACGAACTACAATATTGGAATAAAACTGTAAGAAATGTTGGGAATTAAAGTAACAACAATGGCTTATTACTTTTTTTATTCTAGCAATCAATGCAAAAATTCTTGTGTGCTCGACCTGGCTGCAGTGTTCCAGTGTGCAATATGAGTAATGTGTTTCCAATGTCTCCTGAAGGACCACAGGGTGCTTATTGTAACTCTTGGGGGATAATCCATGAAATGATAACTGTAACCGAACTGGACAATGATTTAGACGTGATATCAGTAGGAAGTCCGTCAACTGAATGCTGCTGGTTCCCTGGGTATATTAAAACATTTTTTTTTTTTTGTTAGCCATTATTGTAGTAAATAATTTCTCTACAGATATAAATGGACAATAATTTTGTGCCCAAACTGTCAAAGCCATTTGGGTTGGAGTTATTTGGCTGATGAAAATTTGACATTAACGCCAAGACTATTCTATGGATTAACTATACGCGCCATAACATCTATTAAAAACTACTTAGTGCCAGACAGAGAAAGACTTGAGGAAATCAATGATGGAGAAATGTTAGTAACATTTTAAAAAATATTTTAAATTTTCTTTATTCTCATTACAATTATTTCATACAAGTACAAAGTATGTAAATGAGCTATAAATATATATCATGTTTGCTGCTATACATACAATTAAAAATATAATTCAAGAATGTTTAGTTTGTTAAAGTAAAATTTATTAAATATTAAGTATTAAATATTTTACCCATTTATTGAATATTCTGAAGTTATGAAGTTTTAAATTATTATTTTATTATTTATTTCATTATTAAGGATGTTCGCCCCTCCAGCAGAAGCCCCAACGGCTCCACCCCTAGCCGCAGTGGCTTCCCCTCAAGTGCGTGCCCAAACAGACATGAATCCTGCCTCGAGACCTATAGGCCTTTCCACCCCCTTGATGCTAGGCCAGCTTCTCCTCGACTTCGGTCGACTAGACTCTACCTGCCGACGCCACGACCTAGTTGTGAACGTCGATTGCCTAGTCTCTGTGGCCCAGGCGACTTATCAGCAGCTAGAACAGCTGTCCGCGATAGCTCTGCCAATGGAAGAACTCAGCTTTGTCAGGATGTGGAGAACCCTAATCCTCAAGCGAGTACAGGATATTTTCGAACTGGAGAAACACCGATGTGCCGAGCACTTCATCCGCGTGATGCCGAATCTCCCCGTTCCAGCACCTCTAGCCGATCTCCTATACTCACTAGGTCAACTTCACAGTCGTGCACTCGGAACTGTGTTTGACATGATTCCACCAGAGCGTCCTGCCATGCCACAACTGTGGTGGACACTAGACAATCAGATATTAGATCACTGGTGTCTTCTCACAGCGAGGATGAGTACTCTTTACATGATGAAAGAGTTCCCAGCCAAGAATGACTTTAAAGACCGAGCCATAGGTATGACGTCGATACAAGACCATGCCAACATCCGCTCAGTTAAGTCTTTAACCAACGAGCCAACCTCAGCCGATGGTTTCATTCGCTTCGTTAACGATGAATTGTTTACGAATCCATTCCCGTTTGTCAACTCTAACTTGCGATTCGTTGAAGGCCTCGAAAGAGAGTCAATTCTTCGTACTTACGTCGGAGTGTATGTAACTGGAACAAACTCATAAGGAGTTACTATTTATACTAGATAGTATGTTTCATTGATTTGTTTAGATAACTTAATTTTATTATTTTCTTTATTATTTCATTTACTCACTACTAATATTAAATTCACTATGTTCCTATTTTTTAGATAACTTTAATTTTAACTGATGTGGGTTATATTTTCACCAACCTTTTATTAAAAATTTTAGCTACGTGTAACAAGACCGTATGCTTTCGATAATAAAAACGAGTGAGCCCACATGAGCCCTGTTCCTTGTTAAAAGTGTCGTCAACGGGTGGCTTCTTTCCCCAAATTATTTAATTCATGGTTTTTGTTGAATTTATTCCCTCTTATATACTTATTATGTCTAGGTATAGATTGTATATTATATTCTTCAAAAATAAAAAAAAAATGTCATTATTATCATTTTAAAGCTCAATATTAGTAAAAAAAAATACTTTTGAAAACTATTTTTTCTATAAACAACATTATTTATCCATTAAACATTTTTATTGCCTTAATATATTTTTTAATTACTTTTGTATGACAGTATTTCCTATAAAAATTATTAAAATATACCTATTGATAATACAGAATTCATACTACTATCTACTTATGTCCAACAAAAGTCTACTCAAACCAATAAGGACGTACGGTCTGCAGTCCTTGGTTAATGCGTAAAAATCAAACACTAACAAAATTCAAGTATTCCAAAACATTGCTCTAAGAAAGTTAACAAATGCTCCTCCCTACGTCTCAAATCTTTTTCTACGTTCAAACCTAAAACTAAAAACAATAAGTGATGAATCTAAATATTTCTATAAAAGATTCCACAACCACCTAAATACTCATTCGAATCCCCTTATCAAAAATTTGATCTCCGCTACAATACTTGGTAATCCCCCAACACGCCTAAAGCACAAATTTTGTCGTGATTAGTTATAAAAAATTTATATATTTTAATTTTTAATCTAGAAAATGATACAATCTATACTAAAACAAAGTACAATAGGCATAATGTATGTTTTTTTTTTTTAATTATGTGTAATGGCTTGAGTGTCTTGAGGGAAGAAACCATCCAGTGAAGGTACTTCGGCATATATATTATATATATATATAAACAATCGTTAAGTATATAATAATTAATTGGCCTGCACGTGACCTGTTTTTTGCTCAAAAACATGCCTTACAGGAATAACTCTCACGCCTCGTGATTTCGATAATTTTTTTTTTCTGAAAGAGAAACACTTCTTACAGGGCGCATTGGACTTGGCTTTTCAAAATTCTACTTCTAAACCATATAATACGATTTTGAATATGACCAATTTTTCACAAGACTGTTATTTTTATTATATTTGTTTTAAGCAACGAAATTAAAAATCGAAGTCCAGTGCGCCCTGTAGAAAATTATCCCCTTTCCAAATCAGACCTTTACGATGCGTGAGAGTTTTTTCCGTAAAGCGTGTTTTGAGAAAATAATCACGCATTTTATGCCGTTGACTTGTGTGCACATTCAGTGCGTGAGTAGATAGCCCGGTACCCCCATACAATATTACACTCACACTAATCATCATTGACGACTATACTCTGTACCAAATAAGAGAGCACCGCGTTGGCTCATCCAAATGAATCGCTGTCCGCGGAGTGACGTCCGGCTGCGTCTATTCTCAGTCGGCCGTATTGGCCGCCGACACTCAACCCTGCCGCCGCTGCGGTAGCGCTCTCGGTCATGCGCGAGTTTCGACCGGTTTTCGTGCGCCGCCCGGTACGTACATGTCCCCAGCCGGTTATTTTATATTGCTATCAATTATTATATCACTTAAGTTGAATAAATATTATAATATTATTATTATTTTATATTCGTTTCTATGGTGATAATGATAAACAAAGCTTTAGAAATATTAAAATCCCATTTTTAGTGGTTTTTCGTAATTTTTTGGTAGTTTTTCCCGTGACATTAAATAACCTTTGAGAAAATCGAAAAATGACCTCTTTAAAGTTCCATCTTGGTCCAATTTTGTAAAAGATAAGGTACTATATGTTGAAATCTAAACTCTCCTGATAAAAATTTTGTGTACAGGATATAAAAAAAAAACAAAAAAATAAACACCATTGTAAAACCGCTAGCTTCCTCAGAATTTAAAAAAACCTACTATGTTCCTATAATTAGTAAAATTACTTTAATAGCAATAATATCATATTATTATATATACATAATATAATTACTTACGACTTACCTACATGGATACATTGTATTGTAATGCCGACAGCTCAACTGTGATGATCTAAAGGATTGAGGAACATGTTATCAATACTTTATTATATTTTGTATGAATCAAAATCATAATTTATGAGGTTATTAAAATCAATTATGTCCTATATTACTATAATTTAACTTTGGTTTAATTCAATAAAAATACAATGATTGTACAAAAATAATATCTAAAAACTGTACAAAATATTATAATAGAATAGTTCAAAATTTACAACAAAATATTTTCATTGATAATAATAATAACCGTATTGCTGTTGGACCGGGGCAATTCTAAATTGTCCGGCTATATTAATAACCGAATCAAATACTAGTGTTTTAGCATTTGAATTAAATGCATAATCTATATGGCCGAATTTATTATGAGGAATAATTATTGTTTGGTAGACGTTTGGCAGAACCGAGATCAGCTTGTGTATAGTCTAAAAACAGAATAACAAAACAATTAGTTTTAATTGGTAGTTTAATTTACACTTAAACAGTTAAACCATTGATTAAATATACTTTTTTTTTTTTTATAATGAGTAAAAAGACAATCTACAATCTATACAACAAATATGCACATTAATTACTAATTAGATGAGATAAAAGAATACAAAACAAACAACAATGAATATTATGATTTTGGGGAATTACCCAGTGGTAACACCCAGCAAAATATACTTAAAGCAAGGATTTCAATAACCGAATTAAATTTGTTATTCTATAATCTATAGGTATTCAGGTAGATACCTAGTACATGTGTTCTAATGTAATATTATTGTACTTTTATGAGATTAGGATTATTATTTACTACTTAATACTTATCAATGAAAATCATTGTAGTGTTAAGTTTTATGATTCGATATGCAACAATGAGGTAAGTACCCATTGAATGAGGTTTTATGTCATCGGTGATAATACAAATAGGTATTGAAATATTATGCATAATATTTTAATTCCGACGGTTATTGAGTTATTCCAGACCTGCCGTGTATTTGAAATTTTGTACATTGTTTATACATTTTATTCAGGAGCGTACACAAAAAAACTTCGGGGGGGGTGAACCCCCCAACCCCCTTGTATACTCTCCTGATTTTATTATTGTAGACCACTAGTCTTCACCAGACAAATACCGACTATGGTGATATTAGTTAGCCAGTTAGGTACCTATACTGTTTTATAATAACAATATACGTAAATACATAATATGTTATTAATTTATTATGTTTATCAAATTCGACTTTAAGCTGGTCGCCACAAAATTATGGCATTTAAAAATTATGAATTTTAATAAAGATTAACGTATACTTACACCACTGTCTACGACCCTGTCGTTCTTGCTGTAATACAATACTACGGGTGACGTGACTTTCCGTAGATCGTATTCCGGCGGTTTGGGTTGTCCATATTTTTGCAAATTCTTATTATGTCCTAAATCGTAATGTTGAAATTTATCTGTGAAATCACAACGATCTAAAGTTAATACGACGACTATTATACCGTATGTAGGTATAGGTAGGTAGTTAAAAAAGAATGATAAATTCACTCGGAACCTCGTGATGGTTATACCACAATTGCCAGTTGCCACAGTTAGTATAGTGTCGAACATAATAATATATTAATACAATAAGTAATATTATAGTATAATAAATGTTTAGTGGTTACTTAGAAGTTAAGAGTTGGTGTATAAAGTTATAATATTTGAATGGAAATTATGAAAAACAAACATGGACCGGTAATTTTACCAAGTTGCATAAAACCCAGCTCTTAAAATTCCAGTTATTTAATGTGGAATCAATCAAAATTTAATTTTCTCCATATTGGTCCTTTAAAGGTTTTATTTTATTTTTGAAACTTAACCAATATTTACCCTAGACACAGCCACACTCCCACATAGGACGCAAATGTCAAGCTTGGGGTAGTAAAACAGTATTATTATAATATAAAATCTAATTTTCCGCTATAACTAATCATTGCAGTGCTGTAGTAGGACAAAAAGAAGTTCTTTAATGATTTACTGTAGGCGATTCAAATACAAAACGTACTTATTTTAAATGAAGAAACTAGGTAGGTAACTTTATTTTGTTATTTTGTGGAGAAAAAATTTGAATGTTGATACTAACAATTAAATGTCATAACGCTTCACAGTTCACAGTTAGGTAGGTATGGCACGAAAAACCAAATCTGTTTTTGCTCTAAATTTTTCCTTAGCTTATATAGTTTACCTGTAGTTTGGTGGTAGGTTAGCGAAAAATATAAGTGATAAATGATAATACATAATAGGATTATCATTTATCATATTATATACTTACTGGCTTTGATCATTTGAAGTAAATGGTCTATACTATTCAACGATACGCTCGCCCTCGAGTAAGTCAATTTAAAGTCCAGGTCCATCTGAAATTACATAAAACCATAAAGTAACGTATAAAATGTAAACGGCCGGTATATGCCGGACTAATAAAGGAGAATAATAATAGTTACTCGTCATGCTAACTATAGTTACCTGCCCGCCACCAAATTGTTGTCTTACAATTGACATCCAATATTTTATATTCTGATATATTTGTGCAGTATAAACTAGTAGGTATACAACTATGCCTTATTAGAATAATAATTTGTAGCAATTTGTAATAATAATGTATAATAAAATGGGTAGCATACGCCATACTAAAGGCGTGGTGACTGATATAAGGTACTATCAGTGGCGGAACTAGGGGGGTGAAGCCGGGCGTAACATTTTAGTGGGAGTATATTTTCTTTTGGTC